TTTAGCCTCTTGGACTGCCTGAGTTCACGAAGGAAAATGTCTCTTAGGGTCGTTTCGTCCGGTGTGTGGCTAAGTCCAGACATGACAGATTCCCAGTTGCTAATGAACACTGAAAGGTCGTCATTGATTAACCTTACTTTCAGCAGGTCCTCCACGGAGTACAGTGAGCCAACCTCCTCGTTCGTCTTGAAGTACTGATCAAAGAGGTAGAGCACCTGTCGTCCTCGTACCGCCCTGAATTTCGCCGCTTCTGTCTCCTTAAAAATGAGGATTTCTCGGGAGAGTTCTCCCCTAGCGACTTTGGTGAGTGCAGCAAGAAGTTTCGTGTCAAGGGTGAGGAATTTCTCAGGGTCTCGAAGGGATTCCTGCGATGCGTCTTTGTCGTAGGCCTTCATCACCCATTTAAACGCCTCATCAGGAGAATCTGATGCTGCCCTGACCGCTTCCCTAGCTGCCGTTTTCCATGAACGATACGACTCTGGACTTGGGAATTCCGGGAGGCTGATGGACTCTGCTTCTTTCACTTTGGGTTTGTCAGCATCGACTTTGCTCTCACCCCTTATGTTTCTTAGGCTTTGAAGAATTGCCATTTGGGTCTCTAGGAGACCTGTGTTGAAAGCGTCCGTCCCTGGCGTGCCGGAATCGGCCGCTGGAGGGGCCGCTGTTCCTGGCGCTGCCTGGGAAGGTCCTGCCTTGGGGATTGAAGATGCTGTTGCAGACGGAATGGACTGAGCATTCAAACCTCCTGGATTCATTGACTCGAACAGACATCTGGCACCTGGGGGATTACGTTCGGCATTGAGAACATGGGCGCTTGAGGAGCTTTGGGGACAACAGAGGGACCTGCAGGGGTGCTTGGAGCAGGCACTGGCTGACTCTTTGGAGTAGCTGGGTTGTACTGATCCAAGACCTTCTCTAGTGCAGTTTCCGCAGAATCCAACCTGTCCTGAAGCTCTTCGTTCTGTTCCCTACATACAGCAAGGGACGCCTCATACTCTTCTTTCTGCCTGTTCCTAAACAACTCAAAGTGTGCTTGGAACTGTTCAACCATGACTTCCTGGGAATTCTCGACGTGCCGTCTCGCCTGTTCTTCGAGGTTCTGTGCAAAGCGTGATTCCGCCAGATGTTGATCCAATGCGTCTGTGATTCGGCTTTGTTGAAGTTCCGCTAGCTCTTGACGCAACCTTTGATCTTCGTCATAGGAATGCGCCTGACTTAAAGTCATTTCCGACAACAGGAGCCTTTCGCGATTTGCCGCCTTGAACTCGCTTTGTGCCAAGGCTGCTTGCAGTTCTGCCACCACTTCAAGGTGGTTTCGTTCTGCTCTGTGCTCCAAGTCAGCTGTGTGAATTGCGGATGCTTCTTGATAGGTCAGCATGTGTTGCCTGTGTCTTGCTTCTGCCTGAGCCTCTAGTTCTCCGACTTCCAGTCTGATCTGGTTAACGTGTACTTCAACACTATACTGTGGTGCGAAGACGTTGAATTGTTGGACTGAGGCTGGTGCCGGGAAAACTAAGCCGGGGGCGCCGCTCCCTGTATGGCCACCCGTGACCGGGGGCTGTAAAGGGTTCACGGTGCTTGTAACTGTATCCATACTTGCAGGAATAAGTTCCGGTTCGCTCATGCGCTGATTGATTGTATTGTAACCAACCAGTTGTGACCAGGCCGTAGGCTATACGGCTGATAACCTATAGTTGTTGTAAACCACTGCACACACGCACTGTTGTATATACCCGTCCAAGTGTTAACAAGCAGCGCAATACCATTAGGCAGCTACGCACTTTTCCTGTTAGAGCACTTGTGCCACAATGCCGTACACACAACATGATACTTCACACGTGCACAAATTACAATGATCTTTATCCCTGGCTGCTCTGCCGAATGTCTATCCGATGGCCACCCAACCTCCTGCAGTTCGCACGATTGGAGGCGGCTGCAGGGCTGCAACAGGAGAAGCTCTTTTCTTTGGCTGGCAAGGTGGCAATAAAGCTGATTCATTGTCTTCGCATCCCGCAGATCTGGGCTGGGAAGGGCTGAGTCCGAAGTGCAAGCCCTATTTGTGCGTTTATCGCGGTTGCGTACATGTGCTGTATGTGCGGAATGTAAATAGTAAAGGGTAAATCCTGGTCTTCTTGCTACCACTGACGTGGCTACCACGACTGACCGTGATGTTGCTGCAACTACTTCCACTGCTATCGCTACGGTAGTCGCTGTCGCTGGCAGGCTGGCAGACACTCTTGCTCCTGCCCTTGGCAGTGACAATGGCGAAGACAGCCGTGATGACAGCAGCAATTCGTGGTAGCAGTGGTGGTGGTGGCGGCGCAGAAAACACGGAACAACACATACTTTATCACGAAGCCAAGAACCCACAAACGATGTATTCTCGCTGTTGAGATCATTGGGCCAGGGATCTCAAACAAGATGGGCTGAAAAAAACAAAACCGGCAGGTGGGTTCTGGCCCCCGCCGAGCCCTGAACGGTGACTCGTTTTGCTGTGATTCATCTCCCATAGAGACCTCAAGGTATAATATAGGGGCCTTAATAATTAGAGTAGTTAGGGCTTTGGGACCCCATAGTAGAGGTTCTGTATCTTCGGCTGTGCTGGCTCCTCCCGTGGAAAACCTCAGCACTGCGAACTGCGATGATCCTCCGAATTTCTAAGTTCCCATTGGGATGGTGAGTTTGGGTACTCGGGGTCAGGGCTTTGGGGGTTTTATGAGCATGCTGGCGCCTGCTCAAACAGGTCTGGAGTTATTTCCAAGCCTTGAGGGTTTCGGGTTCCGAGCATATCAGGGGTTGGACTGTAGCCGATTCAGCTCGAACATCCTCAGTGGGAACCCTCCTGAAAATTCAGCGCACTCGTGCGGGCACGGCTTGGCAACTGCAGTGCGGAATGAGCCTAGGACCCTTACAGTACCCTTATAGCAACCCCTAAAGACCCCGGAAATGAGCCTGGGACCCTTACAGTACCCTAAACCCTAAACCCTCAAAGAAACCCCTAAGGACCTTTCTCTTTTGGAATCCTCTGGGAGCACCTACTTGGAGGTTCAGGGGTAGTTACAAGTGGGGTCACAAGAACTGCAGCTTTTCTTAAAACTCATATTCGGGGACCTAAAACCCTACTTATAACTACCCATGAACCCTAAACTCTATACCGTCTATACCCTTATAGAATCCCTAGAGATCCCTTTAAAGGGACCCTTTAAGGAGCCCTTATCACCACCCATAAACCTCCAAGCGGAGCTCTTTAAGGCCGTAATCCAAGAGGAGACTCCCAGTTCGGTCTGGTGCTCCTTCGGAAGGGTCACAAGGGTAAATATCTGAGTTTCCGAAAATCGGGGACCCTAATATTAGACCTTGAATAGTAGGATCCTGAGTATAAGGACCTCATAATGAGGTACCCCTCGTTTTTGGAAACTCCCATATGGGTATAAATATAAGCTCTCACTATTTGATGTCATATTAACATGGATAGACTAGAAAATATTCATCTTTGATATGGGAGTTTCTGAGAATAGGGGACCCTAAGATAGTACGCTAAATAGTAGGATCGTTATTATTCTAAGGATCCCAAAACAAGGTACCCCTAATTTTCGGAGACTCCCATGCTAGTATCGAGGTTCGGTCGAAGGATGGCCTCCGGAGCTTCCATCATTATATCCACATGGAGACGACTGCAAGCACCCGTAGAGCAATGACATCAGTAGAGATGGTTTGAGTAGTATAACAAGACTCACAGTGAAGCCGACAATACGGATCATCGTAGGCTTTATATGCAGCTCTTTAGGTAGTGTTTGCCCAGTTTCCGTAGGCCACTGCAGCTGCCAATCGCTACTGCACAGGGCTAGTGTACGGTCTTCGAAGGCTACCGCTTGTTGGACGGACCGAACTATCATTGACATTGAGCATGCCGTAAGCCCTGAACCCTAAGCCACTCCAAAAGTACTTAGCATCGATTTGTGATTTTCACCGCCGATGATTAGCTCCATTCCGGTCAATTTGACGATCTTGTATGGTGATTGCTTGACGCCTGTAGCCCCTGACCTGCAAGGACAGCTCCACCTAGAGACTCGAGGCTTTCAATTAGTGCTGCCCTGACGCTTGTTACACGCCAGTACATGCATGAGGGCTTCACGGCTACAAGCTTGTTTTTATACTCTCCCCCCCCCCCCCCCCCCCCCCCCATTCTCGGGCTTGATTTGGGCGGCCCGTCGTCCGCGGCGCACGCAAAGACTCCGAAAATCTCAGAAGCAATCGTGAGCCTGCCGGGCTTTCGCGGGCTCACGGATGAGGCGGGGGGTAGGCTTAGGGCTTGGTCCTTGCAGCGTGTTTCTTTGCAACATCGTCACTGCTGACAATGAACGGTAATTGCAGATTCTAGGTTCAGTCAACAGGAAACCTTCGCATCGCGGGCACACCGCTAAAACCACAAGAATCAAGTGGCAATTCCATTCCTAAACCCCCCCCGCACCCTGACTCCTAAACCCTACCTTAACCTACCACAACCTACTTTTTTGTAGGGTCCCTATAGATTCCATATTAGGGGTTATAATGAGAACCTTACCTCACACGAATGGCTAGCCTAACCAGTGGTTTTGGGGTTCCCTTGGCTCTTTAGCTCCCTATCCGATAAGGATTATCATCATCCCTGGCTCCTTAGCTCCTCCAATGTCAAAGGTTAGTAGCTGCTGCCACGACACGAATCGGCTAGTTACAGCGAGTGCTTTCCGGAATGCGATTTCAGCCTGTCCCCTCAAAGGGCGCACGTTGGACGATACTTAGACTAGAGAACCAGAAAGAATTATAGTATTGCTGATTTCTCCGACCCCAGGACTTAGCTTTGGTTAGTAGGGAATGGAGGAATGGGATACAAGTATCTATAACTACTATTACTACCATTCTTCCATTCCCTACTAACCAAAGGTAAGAGGATTCAAATCCAAGACCTGTCAACTCCGCACACCGAACCCGGCTCCCGCGGCTCGCCTCTCGCGTGCCAATTACACCTGGGCGCTGCCTCAAGCATCGGGTGTCGGACTCGGACTCTGGGCGTAGTATTGGGTCGGAACATAGTTCCTCCCTTAATGTCCCTTTGTAAGTGTAGTTTGATATACCCCAAGCCTATTTAAATCATTGAGGCCTCAACCCAAAAGGGCAGCTGGGACCGAACAAGTCAGCTTCCGTTTGCATTTTCCATAGATGCCAACGGTGATAATCAACAAAGCAGCGAGCCGAAGCCGGAGAAAAGGAGCAGGATTTCATACGAGCGCTGGAAGTTGAAAGCCAATGTGGAAGACAGAAAGTACCCCTAGGCTTTGATATATGGTCCACGCCCATGGGCGGATTATGGCTACCGTGCTGGCTGAGTGGAATCAGTGTCTATCAGTACATTTCTTGCCATGCATCGAACTGCTTACATCTAGAATTCAAGTTTTGCTCGCAGGATTTTGGATTGCTGGTTGCTGCACCCTATGTCTATGTCTAGACCCAAGAGTAACCCAGGCATAAAAAGGATGCCCTTTTTGGTTTAAAGGGGCTTATAAGGGAACCTGAACCCCAAAAAAGGGAATAAGGGCCTACTCTGGGTCCTAGATGTTGGGTTCTCCCACCAATGCTGCGGCCCTTTGGCCTGGGCTGAGGGCTTCGCGCGGCGAGTTTTGGCGAAGCTGCCATGCGGCCCGCGCCTGCTGAGGCGTAAGCGCCTTCTCCTGGCATTCGGGGGAAGAAAAGAAAGAGAAGATCAGGGTTGGGGTTTAGGGTTTAGGGTAGGGCTACATTCGCAGTAGGAACCTGACTAAGACACCTTGGGCCTTTATCAGGGTTCCTTATATGAACCCTACTATTTTGGGATTACAAGCCCAGGGTTTCTTGATCAGGTTCCTACATTAGCAAGCAAGAAGTCTCAAGCCTGCTGCAGCATTGTCTTGCAATGTTCCTTGTTCTTCTCATGACAGCAAGAGCTTCGGCTTTTTGATGGGTACGAAGTTCAGCGAGCAGGAGACCTGATGATTCGTATTTCACGGGTACATGTTCCTATCATATCACTACTACTGCATGGTTACTATCATATCGCTATATGGATGCAATACTGTCATTCGACTATATGGCTGCTATCCTAGTACTACAAGATAAACAAGATAACTGTATTCTTTACCTGAAGAAGCCATCTCGGGGCCGAGGGCTGGATGGCTGGATTGGAGCCTGAGATTGCCAATTGATAGATCTGAATAGAGCTGCAGCAAGACTAAACATAAGAATAGACTAGTAAGAAAAACAGCAAGAGCAAGAGCAAGCATACTAAAGAACAAGAAGCTTCTGATTCTAATTCCACTCCTGATGGCTGCGGGCTTATGCAGGAAATGTGGCCACTTAAACTATAACTATGACCACCCCTCAGCCACACACTTTCTGTGCACGAAGACTTGGATGAAACATGTAAAGGAGACCCAATACCCAAAGCGTAGAATCAAAAAACCGCCTCGTAGCAGGGTGAACCTTCCAACAGCATCCCAAACCCCAAAACTTGTGTCTCAAACCGCGGCTGGGATCCCGACGTCACCCGCATTTGCCATGTCAATTTCGTCCGTCTCTGCAGGGGTTTGCGCCGTGGCTGCCGCCTCCTCCTGAATTTCCAGCGCTTGGGGGTGATCAAGGTTGGGTTTGGGGTTTAGGGTTTGCAGCTACGGGTTCCGGATTTTGCATATTAAGAGTGGGTGTTTGGGTATGCGGCTGTCTCTACCAAACTTGCACGAAGTCGTACTGAATTTCACAATCCACAATCCTTAGCCGGAAGGTGGCCATCATGTGAGCGTGGAAATCTCCATCTACTTTTTCAACCGAAACAAGAAGCCTCCTGACCCAAATCCGGTAACATCCGCAGGAAGCAGTGCACCCGAATCTGTATGACCACCCGTGTCAACCATGATGAAGCGCTACAAAGCGCTATGCAAATGGTGCAAACCCCTATGAATTCCGTAGAAAGGCCCTTCTCAACATGGTCTACATCCTTCTGAACCCCCTAGAAAGGCCCTTCTCAACATGGTGTAGGTAGATCCCCCTGAACCCCCTTGAAAAGCCCTTCCTCCTGGACTTCTCCCGTCTCCTGAGCCTCCGGGAGCGTCTGTCGCGACTGCTGCTTCGGTCCCTGTGGCTCTTCAACCTCTGCGTTCAGAAGAATCGGGCTTAGGGTTCAGGGGGTTCGGAGTTTAGGGCTCAGGATTCAGGCTTTAAACCCTAAACCCCTAAAGCAACACCTGAACCGAATGAACCCCTGAACCCTTCTGGGCTTACCATAGAGCATGACATGATCCAAACCCTACAAAACCCGAATTTAGGGGCCTTAATCATTAGACTTGGGGGGGTTTGGGATACACCGTACTAAAGTTAGAATACGGACACCCCCCAAAAGTATTCGCAATTGCTTAGTCCCCCCTCCCAGTCTTAGAGAATACCGCTTGAAAATACCTGGTGGAATGTCTGAGACAAATCCTAAACCCTAAACCCCAAACCTTACTTGGAGGTTCATGGGTCGTTTTAAGTAGGTTATCAGTCCCTTAATATGAGTCATAAGTATAGTTAGCCTACTTATAACCCACTTATAACTACCCATGAACCTCCAACTAGACCCTAAACCCTATACCCTTATCGAATCCCTATAGATCCCTTTAAAGGGGCCCTTTAAGGAACCCTTATAACTACCCATGAGCCTCCAAGTAGTTACTGGTGCAATCTCCGAGCTCTCCCGAATTCCTGGCCTCGGGAGAGTCCTTCGCCGGTTCGAAGGACCTCACCTGGGCAGCTCGTTTCGAGGAGTCATGGGCTCTTGTGTCTATTAGTGTTTAGGGTAGAGGTCTTAGGGGTTGAGGGTTTAGGGCTCTTGTGGCTTTTAGGCTTTAGGATAGGGGTGGTTGTCAAAATTATGGTCCCCTTCTAGGTCCTTAATATAATGCGGCACCTAATATTTAGGCTACCCAAAAAGGGGGCCATGATTTTGACAATTGCCCATAGAGTTCCTAGGGTTCGAGGGTTTAGGGCTCTCTTGTGGCTTTTCAGATTTATGGTATGAGTCTTAGAGCAAATCCCAGAAAGAGTTGGAACCTGGGTTTAAGAGGATTCCTTGTGACATACCTTGAGGGCATGAGGATAAGAATGTTCCAACTTTCTGGCTTCTGCTAAAGGGGCCTTGATGGTATATTTATAATAGGAGGCCCAAAGAAATAATGTTGGTTTAAGCTATGTGTGATTCAGGTCTTTTGGGCATAGGGTTTAGATTTCAGCTTCGGGTTTATCGCGGTGGAGGATTTGGGTTTAAGGTTTCTGTGCTTTATAGGGGGATTTGGGTTTGGGGCTTCTGTGCTTTAGAATTTGGGGTATAGGGTTTGTGCAAAGCCTTGAGCCCTAACACTCCTAAACCCCAAACCCCAACATTTAAACCCTACTTGGAGGTTCAGGGGTAGTTATAAGTGGAGTTTAAGTGGGGTTACAAGTCCACTAATTAGGGTTATCAGCACAGTTACCCTAGTTATAACCCGACTTATAACTATCTATGAACCTCCAAGTAAGCCTCAAGAGGCCTCCGCAGCACCCGTAAAGGATTCCAGGGACTGGACCTGCCCCAAAGCGGATTTTTCTCTCAATGTGAAGGCTCAGGGGTTCAGCTGTCGGGGGGTCCTTTTTTTCGCGATTTTGCTTCAGGTTCCAGGGCTGGGATGTGGGGTCTCGGGCTTTTGGGTTTGTGTTTCAGGATTTAGGATCCAAGACCCTTCTTAGATTCTCGTACTTGTACTAAGCAGATTTAGGAATTTGGGACTTAAGAATGACGGTTGAGGCCCCGTTTTTGTGGCTTGAGGAGGTTTAGGTCTTGTTTGGGGGTTTAGGTGTCCCGAGCCGGCCATCCACTCTCCTATGAGGTATAAGAGTGCAAGGATAGATAGACCACACCCGAAACCTTCCCATGATGGGCATACGATTTAAGGCTCAGGGCACAATCATACTGCCAATATGGCTGAGAACCAGAGGAGCCCGAATGCCTGGATTCACATAAGACTGAATCTCAACCCAAAAGCCGCCACATGAAGAACACGGAAGCGAGAAATGAAGAAGTCTGAATCAAATCGGATCAGCCTGCAACACCCTAACATTTCAGGACCATGGGGCCCTTATCTGGACCATAAATCGCAGGATCGTTGCCTAAGCCGTAATGACTGTAAATAAGATACTCGCAGTCTTCAGGAGCCCGATAGAATCCCATAAGACGCTCAGAAATTGAACACAACCCAGTGGAAAAAAGTGGAAATATTCCTCATTATAGGTGGCTAAGGAACCCTACGCTAGTTGTTGCGCATTGTCGTATCCTGAGAAGTTGGGACATAACGTGGATCCAACTGTCACAAGCTAGGCCTTGTCGCGAAGCTTCTGCAGGTCACTGTCGTGACTGATCACCTGCCCAGCTTCTTTCAACAGCAATATACTCTGCATCTTAGACACGTAGTGCTCATAATGACCTCATTAGGCTGTCAACTACGTTGAGGGCTAGACTGGTGGCACAGATAGTTCGACAGTTGACGATGGTAGTTCAGACGGGTACAATCAACTCCTTCTCCAATGTTCGTCTTTGTTGAGCTTTCTTCTGGAGTGTGAGGTGCGTTGATTACATATGTGCGTTGTAAGGTCTCAGGACAGGGTCTGGAAGCTATCATAGTTACAGCTGTAAACTTGGGTATATAACCCCAGCTAATTGCACAAACTACTTCTTCTGAACCGCACGAAAAGGTAACAATGGGCGAGACTGATTCTGCCTTCCCTCTGAAGGTGGCCAAGAAAAATATTGGCTCATAGCTGCCGCAATGTCTCTTCAGAGTGCAGAACGACTATCGTTTTCACAAATTTGTTGGCCTTAACCATCAGCATCGCAGCATCTTTGATGCTGTTGCCACCTTCATCATCAACACTACTACCATCATCATCGCCATCATCGTCATCAGCATCATTCTCGGCATCGCCAGCAGCAACAATAGCAAGCTAATCAGCACCGGGCGAGATCAGACCAAGTGCTCACGTAGCTTCTGTAGCTATTGTCTCCGATGCTTGCGCGCTCACAAGTCTATTTGCAACTGAACCATAGTAGGAGTGCTCAAGCCGAAGCTTTCCAAGGCAATCCAACCAAGACCCCAAACCCGAAAACCAGCCCATGGAGGTTCGGGGATCTTCCAGTGCATGCTTACGATTCTGACACGCCAAAAAGGATGACGAACTCAACTTAGAGGTTCAGGGGTAGTTATAAGTCTTGTTATAACTAGGGTAACTATACTTATAGTCCTAATTAGGGGGCTTATAGCCCCACTTATGACTACCCCTGAACCTCCAAGTACGATTCTGACATGCCAAACAGAACCTCGAGGGCCCCTCACAGCCATCGTGATAGCGCTCGACCGGGACTTGATAGAAGGGACCATCAGGGGCCTTAATTTTTGCAATGATTAGAATGGGTTTTGGGGTATATTATACTAATTATGACGATAATAAGGAACCCCCAAAGAGTTATGGTAGTTGTTCAGGCTCGGGGCATTCTGAACACCACGCCTGCCCGATCTAAATCCCAAACCGTAGGCTCCGAAGAAGCCCAGCCGGCTTCACAAAGGAGCCATCCTAAATATGTGAACCAGCAAAAGTCCCCGGCTTCCAGCCCTCTCGACCCCTGAACACCTCGAAACCGTATTCAACCAAAGCACTACATAAGTCCTGAACCCTGAACCACTCGGCTTGAGGTTTTCACACGGGGAGCGCCTTGGGAGTGATGTCCTTGAGCTGAGTGACCAGGGCGCTGATGTGGGGAGCCAGAGACTCGGCAACCGGATGCATTTTTCTCTCTACTTATAAACACCCCAACCTTTTGAGGGCTCCTTAATTATTATGGTCTCTCTCTCTCTCTCTCTCTCTCTCTCTCTCTCTCTTTCTATATACAGATACATAGAACATTTTCTGAAGCCAGACTGTTTTTGAACCACAGGTTCTATGTTGGCAAGACTGTTGCTTGGGGTTCTTTCAGTAGTTCTTGCTCTCTGCTACTTGGAGTGTGGGCAACCAGGTGAAGTGCCAGGGATGATGGTCGATTTGATAAACACATAAGCCCAAACGCCTAAATCCTGAACCCGAAAACAGTTGTTGTTGTAATTAACACGGTTGTTTTTGGTTGAATTCGGAGGGCTCCTTGGACCGTGGACTTTGTCCGTTCATGGCCAGACGAGAAGAGGAGAATACTTCATTCGACTCCCGTAACATCCGTGGAATCAAAAAAGAACCCCAACTCAGACTGTCTTACCAATGCCACCTACGCCTTGAGCTGTAAGAATAAGCGGCCACATTACCTTGCGGTTCTACTCTAGCTAGTACGTCGCGCGAAGTCGCGAAGCTGGGGATTTCGAGGATGTAGGGTTGTAGCCTTTTTTCAAACATACAGTTTGGGGTTCAGGCCTTTCGGCTTTCGGGCTCCAGGTTGCGGGCTTTAAGGTTTGGCCGAATGTCTGGGGGCTTCGAGGTTTCTATGGCTTGAGGTGGGGTGTTTCGGGGGGAGAGTTTATCAAGGTCGGTCGGGGTCGTGGCTGAGATGATACTCGTGCAAGTGGAACTCGGAGGGACCCTACTCGTTGCACCCTGCAAAGTCCCTCGCCTTCACAACAATCCTCATCCCCCAAACCAGAACCCCACTAAACCCCAAAGCCTAAACGCTAAGGCCCTAAACCCTAAACCCCAACGCCCCTAAACCCCTCAAAGACCTCCGACCGAATCTTGCAGGGCCAAGGATGCAGCTTGCTCACCCCTCAGGGCCTGCGGCAGCTCATATATAATATGATGTTGTATAATATGAAATAATATATAATATAATATGTGTATACATATATATATATATATATATATATATATATACACATATGTAGAGGGAGAGAGTACGTGCATGTATTCACTTGTGTGTATATACTCATGCATATACATCGACATGTATTGCGTTCGTTGTCTATGTACGCAGCCGCACAAGCTGTTGAGGGCTGTTGAAATTGCGAGCCCCATGGAAATCAAGACCACGCTACTTGCACTAGAGTCCGATCACTAGTACTCGTGATGAGGTACTGGTAGCCTCAACCCTAAACCCCCACAGCCCCAGCCTAACACCCTGAACCCTAAGCGTACTGAACGAAAAAGTGCACTTGTGGAAGCACCACTACCATCTACTACTCGCAGCAGGCCACCGCGAATAGTAGAACTGGTGCCTGTGTCAAATGCAACTGATGAATCTTTTTGGGCTCTGATGCGAATGATAGCTGAAGTCGACATGGCACACCTTCAACCTCAAATGCAGCTGCGCAGCTCTGAGTTGCCTTCCGAATTTCAATCTTCCTAGGCCGTCATAAACCCCCTTATACTACACCCCAGGTGTCTGAAACCCAAGCGCAGAAGGCCTCCGGGATGTCGGTGACGCAAGATCTCCGCCGCAGAAAGGAACCCAATAGAGGGAGAGAGAGAGAGAGAGCCAAGAGTTCAGGGTTTCCAACTGGGGGCTTGAAAAACCCCGAGTCAAAACTCGAAAGCCCAAAATCGGTACTGGTGGCCTCGAGCTGCTCCTGCACCGAATTGAGCCTCTGTGGCATTGGTTCAGGGCTGCAAGTGCTGCTTCGGAGGGTTGGCGGGGTCAGGCACTATCAACCCCAAAATCCCCTGAACTCCCAAAACCTACGCTTAAACCCTAAACCCTAAAACACCCAGCCCTGAAGGGCAGATCTGTGTCACTGCTTTACAGTCTTAGTGTTTTGCAGGGTCTAAGAAGGTCTGAGCCTGCACCCCCTTCAATACCCCGGCCACTGCTCTTGGGTCAGGCTTCTATGTATATGTATATATGTAATTACTGAGTAATTAGTGGTATATATATATATATATAGAGCAACAATGAAAACCTACCTATCTACCTACCTACCTAACACATATGAAAGCCAGGGAACTGCTCTTCGAGCTTGTCGAGTCGGCCTTGCCAAACTCGAGATTGACCCGCCTGGGCGTCTCCAAAGGGTTTGCAGTTTATCGCTTCAGCGTTTTGCGGCTTCGGGCGTGTAGGGCCAAGGGAGAGTTCTAGGGGTTTCGGGTGCTGGGTTTTGGGGGGTTTATGGTGTAGGGTTTCCTGACGCTTGGGATGCGGGTGGAAGGCGTAAGGCACGTGTAGGGCTGCAGGATTTGGGGTCCGTGGTTCAGCTTTTCTTGTTTTGATGGAAGGTACCATGGAATTCAGTTGAATCCTATCAATCCGCAACCCATCTTTCTGCAGCTTCCCTCCGGTGATGCATCGCCAACATTCAATGCTGAGATCCTGGAAACATTGACAGCATCGATAATGGTAACGATATCACTCACAGTCATGGTTTCACTGCGCATGAGACGTCCCTAAACCCCGCTGTATACGCCCTGGATACAGCCAGGGCCCTGCATCCTAAACCCTGAAACCCCGGAATCCTCATTCGCTTTCGGCATCCTTCTCGTGCCCTCCTATTGCCCATTCGCCTCAGCAGGCTCAGCTGCGGCGAGCATCCTGCAGCAACGGAGCAGACGGGACGAAACAACAGCCCTAAACTTGATGGTGCAGGGTTTACGGTTGCGTGGACCGTTGCTCCAATCCATTTTCAATTTATAGGCTTTAAAGCTGATGTAGGTGCTTCGGGGTTCATTTTAGGGTACTGTGCCGTGCGGTGTTTCATGGCTTCGGGGCTTGAAGGTTTGATGGAGAGGCATATTCCCTTGAAGTGATTCAACCCCTACATAACCACTGTAAAGTTTTCGCGTGAAACTAGGGCCTTTACTTTCGAGGGGCCCGGCAAGCAAGACACGAGGCCGCTCGCCTGACATACATGTCCCTCCGTTCAGGTCAGGCATTTAGATTAGAAGAACTTGTCAGGATTTCGCGTGCACTGTAAGCCTTTGATCACGAGCCCTGACGATTCAGCACTCGAAAATACTACACCCTGGGACTTCAAACCCTAAAAACCCTTCTGCAAACCCCCAACGCAAAAGCTTCAACCACTGAGCACCTATGCCCTAAATCCAAAACCTTACCACACACGAAGGCTGCTCTGCTGTAATCCTTCTTGGCCTAGGGTTTAGGGTGCATCCTCCAAATCGTGAAACTTACAGCCAACAGCCAAAAGAACATTCGGGCTGAGACTGGGCTGTTGTGGAGTCTTCGTAGGACCTTTCCGACCCCGCTCCGCGTATCCTCTGTTGTGCCAGCCCTGCAAACGCTTCTTCCCACATTTCAGAACTCCAGAACAAACCCACCAACCTGAATCCCACGAGCCCGTTAAACCCCAAGCACCAAACACTCTAAGTTACGACAAGTAGAAGAGTTTGTGAGTATATCGTATTTTTGTATAGGATTTATGATCAGGAACCCTCCGGGCCTAAGGATTACGAATTCCGATAGCAATACAATCAATACCAAATAATCTAGTAGACTGCACAATACTACATATTCCAATACAATTCCTGCAAAATGCTATATGAGTGAATAATGCCACATACTACTATGTACTGCTTTATGCTGCTATATACTACTACATACTTTTATGGGTGGTTGTTAAAATTAGGATCCCTTTTGGGTCCTTACTGTAGTACGGCACCTAATACTTAGGGTACCCAACAAGGGACCATAATTTTGACAACTACCCATATATGGTCACGCGCTCCGCAGCCCCCCCCCCCCTCCCCCCCCCAAAGGTCAAGGGTCGGGATATAGGGTGGGCCCCCCCCCTCCCCTGTGGTTCCTCTTCCCCCTGTGGGTGGTTGTGGGGTTTTGGGGTTTACGCTTTAGCTTAAGCTTTTGAGTTTTGGGTTTACGGCTACAAAGTATAAGGCTTCGAGTCGACAAGGGCTTAGGGAGGATTTGCGGTGTATGCTCTGCTTTAGGCTGAGAGCCTGCAGTTAGGTGGGGTTTAGGGTTGGGTGTAGCGTTTTAAGTACAAGTTAAGGTTGCTCAAAACCGGGCACGCGCTGCGTCATAGGGTTTACGGCTTGCTTGCGAAGGGCTTGCGCGTGAGCCCTGGCCGCCAGCACCACCCCACCATCCAGAGGCAGCTCCAACGGCCCCAACCCCTTTCCGCACACGCCCCAGACCATACCATTGGGGGGGGGGGCTGGGAACGCCAGACGCCTGACCCTATATGGGAGTTTCCGAAAATTAGGGGTACCTTATTTGGGTGTCCTAATAATAAGGATCCTACTATTTGGGGTGCTATATTAGGGTCCCCTATTTTCGGAAACTCCCATACTACACTGTAGATAAACCAATTCACTCAAAGGCTTTTGCACGAAAGGAAGACGCCGCCTGGGACTGGGAAGTCGGCCCAGCTGGTATTGCTGATTTTGCTCTTGCCTTGGGCAGGTTGGGATTCTTTGAAGCCCTTTACGGTATCTTATGGTCTTTTTGATGGCAAGATAGGTCCTTGGAGACACTTTCATGTACTATAAAGTATTACCTTACATTACAGTATCTTACAGTCTCTTTGGTAGTAAGATACAATGAGGCACTACGCTACTACAGTAGAGGGATGGATGAGGGCTGCAGGATGTCGGACTTAGGTTTCGGGTTTCGGCATGTAAGCGGGGCTTGGGCTTTGAGAGCTTGAGCCAAACCCTAAGCCTGAGCGATTCTCGTCTTGTTGAGGACTGGGGCTAGGGGTTGTCGAAACTCTAGTGACGGTTTTTGAAGCATGGAACTATGAGGCTGAAACAGAAGCCTCAATAACTGACAATACTATTCTTGAGGATTCCTTCTGAAAATGGACCTATGCTATACTCTACCTCCAAATCCCCTTCTACCTGTTAAGGCCGCTAGTTTTTAACCGCTAAGGCCCCAATTTGTCACATGCCATTTGGTACTTCCCATGGGCCATTGAGCTTTTCTTTGCTGTTCGTGCTTTCTGCTTTGGGTTTAAGTTTTCGGAGTAACTTTCTGTTTGAGACTGCATGCAGTGCAGGGCTCCGCTTGGAGGGCTGCGTCTGCTCCAAAGGAATAATGGTATGCGTTAGCACCCCTAAATTTTGTGATGCTTCGGTTTAAATCGTCAGGCCATGGCATCGGATTGAGGCCGTAACTTCGAAGCTCACACCAGAATAGCACCGGGGACCACGCATAAAGAACATGATGTAGAGTCCGTAGTCCCATGGACAAGAATGACAATACCAATGACATTATCTACATGACACCAGCAAGATCCCATGGTCAAAAAGTATGATTCAGCGATAGTCATAGTAAGAAGAACCAGCACAACGATCGATAATGCAGGCCTGGACCCAATCAGAAAGCCCTGCAAACTCGAATTGCAAAGTCGAAAAACACCCCAGGTAAAACTTACATGAACATCTACTGTAGGGGCCTTAATGGTTAGAATTTGGCATGGGCGGTTCCTTGCTCTGTTTATAGTATACTGTCCCGCAAGACCCGGTTCTAATGATCAAGGCTCTACATCAGAAGCTGCCCCCACCCTGTAATAGTGGTATAATAGGAATCTAATAGGGCCCTAATATAATCCTTATCGTCACTATTACAGGGTGGGGGCAGCTTCTAAGTCCCTACATCTACGGAACCTTCTCCGGGCCTCTCAAGTCCTTGCTGAAGGATTTGGAGCTGCTCCTGAGCCTGGACCCCAGACTCTTCCATGTCCTGGCGTGGGGGCTTTAAGATTTGCAGTTTCGGGCTTTGGACCAAGTCCCCAGAACTTACGACTTTATTTATAGGGTTTGGGGTTTCAGGGTCGAGATTTGCGTTTTGGGGCTTTGGAACAAGTCCCCTCATTTTGGGCTTCGCGCTTTAGCCCCACAGCCCCCCAAAAAGCCCGAACTATCAGCACCTTCCACCCTAACCGACGCACTGAAACCACGAAGAAGAGCCAGCTCAAAGTTTGAGGTTCGGGCGTTGACAATAAGCATAACAGCCCCAAAATGCCTCCCCCTCGCCTGCCTGGATCCGGGACTGCAGGGCCTTCAGACGGCCTTCGAAATTCTCCTGAGTGGAGGAATTTTCGCAGGCTTTCGGGGTTCGGAGGTAGTGGGGCTTCGAAGTTTGGGAAGATAGGTTTCAGGCTTATTGATTACGGTTATGAGGGGTTTGGATTTCGGCTCGGGGCTGTTAACGTTCAAGGCGTAAAGGCTGTAGGGCTTTGGGGGTTGGGGCTGCGGGTTTTATAGAATTGCACGTAACGGCTTTGACCCGCGGACCAATTACTTGAGACTCTCGAGGAGCTGTGAACAATATCGCTGCTGTCAGGCGCTAGATCTGAACCTAACTTTGGCTCAAGTCCAAGGGACAGCAAGCACAGTTCTAAGCGCCTTACACTGAATCTCATGTGCTTGGATTCGCTTGCACTTGCCGATTTGGGGAACCGTTCAAGTTTTAAAGGGGCGGTGTTATGGGTTCATGGTGCAAAGGCAAGCTCCGAGCAAAAACCCTGCCCCAGACCTTTGGCGGAATACAAACTGTTGTAGTTCAGGTGGTGATTTACGACATATCTGAAACTTCAGCATTTTGTACATGCATGAGACATGCTAGAGGGCTCGTTGCAAGGTTTTCGGCTTTCTCCAGTGGCGCTGGAAACAGATGACCTTGAACCCTGCCGCAATCCCAATCTTGCACCCCCAAATCTTGTATTTGTCGTCCGAAGTCGTCCTTTCTGGATATCGCATGTTCTCCTTTTCTCAAAAGCCAGATACATCGACACCTGTGGAACTCGAGCCCACGCGGGGAGACCCCTCGGCCTAACCCTCAACACAGGCGGCCGCGTCACTCTTTCCACCCTATCCACGAGGGCGCGGAATTGCTCGTCCTTGGTGTCCTGGAGCTCTTCTGTGTTTCCAAACCAAAAAGCCCCTAAACCTAGAAACCCACAAAGTCCACTTGGGTGGCAAGGGTTCTGGCAACGCCGTAGTGGGTTGAATGTCAAGAAGCCCAAATCAGAGGGTTGTAGGTTTGACTGTTGTGTTCACGGTTTCGGGGCGATTCTCGGGGCCGACTGGTTCAGGATTCGAGTGCTCAAAACAAAGCCAAACTTTACGGCAGGGCTTTTGCTCAGAGCTGTGGTGGAAGAAGAACAGAAGTACAGGAGCAGGGGATGCCATATGCACGTAAGCCTCAGACCTACTTAAAGGATGTCGAGAGTCAGCCAGAAGTACAGCGATTGGGCTCCACTCTCAAAGGCCTCCATAAACACCAAAGCCCTTTAGATTCCGACCCCTCGCGCCTGCATGGTTCGCATGGACCGGCTCTTCTCCTCTTGAACCTCCAAGCGGGAGCGGAAGTCGTTGCACTCCTGGCGGCCCGAGGACCCTGCCCTTCATCCAACATCCCTGAACCCTGGCCCTGGCCTGGCAAGGAACCTTTTAACCTGTACACTGTATACTCCCTCATTTGTTCCAAACACTCGGACGACCTGCGTGAGGACATCGAGCTTGTGCGATGTGGCCTCCCGCTGTCTTGAGGATTGTAAGGGATAGTCGGTTGCACAGCGGCTTCAAAAGCAGGTCAAACGAGATATACAACGCCAAAGGGTAGAGCATGGGGCCATCAGGATTAGTGCTTTTGCTTTTCTTGGAAAGTTCAAGTGCCTCTAGGGCTCAGTGCTTCATTCCGCAAGTAAGGACAGAGGCCTTCGACTCGCCCAAACGGTGTTACAGATCCTGGACCTAAGCCCCGAATCCACGGCATCCTAAAGCCTCGGAAAAGCCCAAAGCCCATGCACCCGTAGCCTGAACCCTAAACCCTGGACTTGAATTTCATGTGCATGCAGTGGGCCTGCAACTATTATAGCACCCTGAAGCCCGAAAATCAAATCCTTACAATAACCCTAAACCACAAAGCCTGAGTCCCATGACCGACACTGCTTCAGTAACCCAAAAGACCCCAAGCCCTACCTGCAGCCTGAAAGACCTGCCTTCTTAGGCTTCCCTACTATATTTAGTTCCTTAACAAGGGAGGTCTTCTGGAGGTTGTCGAAAGTATGGTTCCTTTTTGGGGTCTCTAATATAGTACAGCACCTAATATCTAGGGTACCCAAAAAGGGACCATAATTTGGACAACCACCCAAATCCTGTATCCGAAGGTCTTCATAGGCCCCATACTTGTTCCTTTTTGGGATTACCTCTCGGCTACAGGTAGATCCTATATCCGATAGTACCCAAAAACCCTGTAAATTCTGCATCCGAAGGTCTTCATAGGCCCCATAATAGTTCCTTTTTGGAAACTCCTCCACTACCCCAAAAACCCCTGTAAATCCTACATCCGACAGGCCCTCTTCGGCCTGCAACAAGGACTCCGTGTCGTTGACGCGGAGCTCCAGGGCGGCGTGGGCGGCCCCGGTCTCGACCTACAGGGAGCCTTAAATGACTAGAATAGGGTTCCTTTAAGAAGGGTCTATAAGGGCTACGATAGGGGATCCACAATAAAGGTACTGTAGTATAATTAGGGGTCTTAATCATTACGTACTACAGGGGCCTGACCTTAACCCACCAGAACCTGCCTTTTTGTAGGGTCCCTATGAATTCCATATTAGGGTTTACCCACCAGAACCTACCTTTTTGGTAGGGTCCCTATAAATTGAATGTTAGGGCGGAAAAAAAGAACCTGCAAACATGTAGGGTTTGGTAGTTTAAGGCAATAATTAGAATAGGGTTCAACCCCCCCCCAAAACAGTATGCTATCAGGGATCCATAAGGGTGCCATAATGTAGGGGCCTTACTTAATCTAATAATTAGAACAGGGTTCCTTTAACGGGGTCTATAAGGGCTACTATAAGGGATCAAAAGGAGGGTTCTATGGTTTAGGTGCCTTAATAATTCAAAAAAGGTTTTCGGGTGCCATTCTACTGTAAATCTACTAAGGAACCCCCAGAATAGTATAGGCAAGTATCAAGGCCCCTATAACTTCTGGGAGGGAGGATTTCTGTGAGATTTTCGTGTGGGGGGGGGGGTTGATGCCTTGGGGGAATCAGTGTTTAGGGGATTTATGGGACTTATGGGGATTTCGGGGTTCATAGGTTTTTTAAGCGATCTGCAGGGATGTTTCGGATCTTCTGAAGCTTAGGGATTTATGGGGGGCTTTGGGATTTATAGGGATTCACAGGGCTGTATCGGGATTTATAAGGATGTCTAGGATTGCCAAAAAGATCCTCTAAACTCTGGGAAGTTAGCGATCAGGATTTAGGATGTAGCGGTGAGGTGCGAGCCTTTAAGGGTTAAGGGTGCCGTAGTCGTTTAGGAGTTGAAGTCTGGGGTTTAGCGCTTGAGGGATTCAGGTTGGGGCTCTACAGGTTGCGGCTTCAGGGTTTCGGATTGAGGGTTTTAAGGGTTCAGAGCTTTCAGCAGCCGAAAGGCTAAACCCCAAACCTTCAAGAAACCCTTATGCGTGGTTGTCAAAATTATGGTCCCTTCTTGGGTCCCTAAAATAGTCCGGCACCTAATATGTAGGGTCAAACTACCCTTATGAACCCTGCAACGCCCTACTAGTCATCGCCCTATAAACCCCGTTTCACAACCTTGCAAGTCGTCCCAAGCGGCTCCGCAGCTCTACGTAGAAGCCAAAAAGTTGGAAACTCGATAGCCTCAATCCCTAAGAGTAAAGTATAGGGAATCCCAGCACTATTTGTCCTTAATTCGGTTTCCAACTTTGTGGAGTTTGCTCTAGTTGTGGCAGCCATCAGCCCGAAACCCTAAACCCCTGATCCCTAATCCCAAACCGTAGCCATGAACCCTAACCCCCAAAGCCCTAAACCCCTTTTGAAGACCCCAGAAATACACACCCCCTTAGAACCATAATATAATATTATTCTGACTATTCTCTTGGGTTTTATATGAACAAAAGTAGAAACAATTCCTGAGGAGACTATAGAAAAGTCATCCCCTCCGGCACCCGAAACCCTAAACCCCTAAAGCCAACCCCCAAAGCTCTAAACCCTTTTGAAGACCCAAAAAAAGTCATCCCTCTCCGGCCTCCTTCGCTCGGAGCCTTTCCGCTTGGGCCCCGAAGGCTTCGTCATGCTGGGCATGTCGAAGCTGGTGGCTCTCCTGCTTGGAGGGTCAGGGCTGGCTAATCAGTGGGGTTCCTTTAAAGGGATCCATAGGGTTATTAAAAGGGTTATAGGGTTTAGGGATTAGGGTTTAGGGTAGTTATAAGTAGGGTTTTAACTAGGGTAACTATGCTTATAACTACCCTAATTTGGGGACTTATAACCCTACTTAAAACTACCCTTGAACCTCCAAGTAGGGTTTAGGGTTTAGAGAGCCTAAATAAGGACAGGATATGCTATAGGGGTCAGGGACTAGGTTATGGGGTTTAGGGTATAGGGCTTAGGGTTGAGGATAATCGGTTCGCATAAGGTTCCTGTAAAGGGTTCGTTTCCGGGTTTCTATCACGATCCCATCATAAGGGTGTAAGGATATACTATAGGGTATGCTTTGGAGAGTGCTACCTATTTAAGACGAAATGAACCCGGAAGGGCATACATGTGGCTCTCCCGTGAAAATTGTACAACAACATCGTAGTTTGCTATTATGAGTTGTCTATGAGGCTTTACCGTGGGGCTTGGATTTGCTAGAACCCTAAACCCAAAGCCCTAAAGATCACGCTGTAATAGAAAATCCTTGGATCGGGAGCGACTGCGGCGCCCTGCATTCCACCAGTTGTAATGCAAGCCTTCTTCAACACGGTGAAACCCGGAGCCCCTGAATTCGGAAACTCTTAAACCCGATATGAAACCCTGTAGCCAAGATCTCTAAACCCCACAAACCCCGAAATCTTTCCGCTATCCCTCCAAGCCCGAAACGCTAAACAGAAACCCTAAACCGTAATCCTCCAAACCCCGAAATGCGGGCTCCTCCAACTCTTCGAGGCGCGAGTGGAGCTGGACGATGCCGGTGCTTGCATCCTCGTCTTGCTATTTTTGGGTGGTGCTATTATTGTTACTATTATACTTGGCATTATATTTGCTATTTCAAGCATATTCAGAATCAAGGGCTGGGTTTAAGCATTTCAGATTTGGGGTAATGAGCTTGGCTATTTCCAATATATTCGGAATCATTGCTTGGATTTGGCTAGGCTCGGACTCTAAGCCCGTGGCACAGGGTTTACTTGGAGGTTCAGGGGTAGTTATAAGTAGGGTTATAAGTCCCCAAGCTGGGTTGTAAGTATAGCTACTCTACTTTTAACCCTACATACAACTGCCCAAGAACCTCCCAAGTACCTCCATCCCACCTTTTGGGGCGCCTGAAATCTTGAGCTCTACCTGAACACCTGGGACTGCCGAAAGGCAGCGACTGGTATAGGGGCCTTATTAATTAGGAATAAGGCTCCTTTAAAACGGGGCCTATATAGGGGCTACGAAAGGGGATCTACAAGGATACTGCAATGTGGGGGCCTTAACAATTAGAATAGGGTTTTGGGGCCCATTATACTATATCTATACTGAGGAACAGCCAAAATAGTATTCGTAATTATATGGGCCCCTATATTAGATTCTCCATGGGATCGGCACCTTCGTAAGTGGTGCCTCCTTGAGCAACGTGATGCCGAGTGAGGTTCGTTGAAGGATCTCTCGTCTCCACAATGCTTTTCAGGCAAGAAACTTCGAAATGATGGTGTAATATATTGTACTATTAGTAATACTAATATTAATGTTTATACTGCTAATATTATTATCAATACCAATATTCATCATATTGGTATTAACATTAGAACTCACTACTATTCTTCTTATTGTTAGAGTAAGTATTCTTATGGACACAACTTTATACCAGCCCAGAGCTCTCAAGAAGCCTCGAAGGCTCGATCGGGCGCAGAACGCTTGGGGTCTGGGGGCTTCTCAGGGCTGCAAGCCCACATTTGAGCTTCCGAAAGTTAGCGGTACCTTATTTGGGGGTTTCCGAAAATAGGGGACCCTAATATAGTACCCTAAATAGTAGGATCCTTATTATTAGGACCCCAGAATAAGGTACCCCTCATTTTCGGAAACTCCCATATTAGGGTCGCCTGGTTTCGGCCTCTAAACCCGATGACCGACCGACCGAATGGGACTTGATCATGTTGCAACGCCTCAAACCAGCTTTGAAAATGAGGTGTGCGAATTATCCAGGTTGCAGGGATACTATACTAAGCCTTGTACGGCTTACGATGCACGATCTTCGCTATATGGTATAGTCTGACAAAGCTTAGTGTACTATACTGTGCTCTACTCTCTTGTCCTGAACTGTGCTCTACTCGACTTTGCATTTAACCCGTAGAGCGGGGTCCTCTGCGTTGGCATGGTGCTCTTCCAGGGCACCCTCGATCCTTGTGCAATGGCTAAGTGCATAAGGAACTACTTCGCCGCAGCATTGAGAAATACCGAGAAGAGGGGAAGTACACATATAGATTGTCCTAGGTCATCAAGCATCGCCGGAGTGGTGTGAGTTAGTATGCGCTCTGGCACATCCATACTGGAACCACCAGGACTGCAAAAGCCCCCGACCGCTGGGCTCAACGCTTCAGCCCTTTTGCCTCACAACATGTCCATCCCACTTGTGTCCGAAACCCTGCTACGCTTCGTAAGTCCTGCACCTGAAACCTTGAATCCTAACCCAACATTACCCTAGACCTGCAACCCTAAGCCCAACATAACTCTAGACCCTACCTCTGAATCAAGAAGCTGACATCTCTCGCCCGAACGTATCTAATCTCACCCGAGGCTCACCCCGAGGCCTTATATTAAACCCCACACCAACCCCTGTAACAGACACAGCGCAAAACCCTATGCCTATGACATCCGTACACCAAACTCACTCAGCAGACGCGCCTGAGGAGTCGAGTCGCCATCTTCTTGGCCTGAGTTACAGAGTATATATATATATATATGTATATGCACATACAATACCTATACTATCATCTGTTCTCTAGCACATTCTTTGCATACACACATATGTATGTGTATACCATATATATATATATATGTATGTATGGGTACACAGACGTATACAGACTTTTCCGTACGTACGTACACACACATCTTCATGCCGAAAGTACATATGTATTTACATATACACACACATATGTATATATATATATATATATATAGATATATATATATACATACACATGTGTACACACCCACCATAAGTTTGGTGACTTCTCGATTTTAGAGGTGGGATCTTTTGGGGCTCAGGTTGGGTTTAAAGCGCCTTGGATTTGGGATGAATCTGGTGACCCTCAGTCCTGGGCATCTTTGTTTGATCTTTAGAGTTCAGGTGCAGAGCTTGAGATCTTTAGGGCTCAGGGCTTCGGATCCTTTAAGGAGTCTTTAAGGCCTAAGGTCTGGTTGGTGACCGAAGGGTCGTTTAGGGTTTAGGGCTTAGGGTTTGCCGTAAGGTTTTTTGGGATTATTGGGGTTTAGGGGCGGATTCTTCTTTGCTGTACACGCCTTAGTACTTGAAAGAGAGCCTTGGGGGTCTACCATCCTACAAGTACATCGGCAGTCTAAGTGGATGCGATTAGGTTTGGTAGCGAGGCCTCTGGGTTTCGGGAAGGCAAGGCAGCAGTAGAAACTTGTTGCTGCACACTACGTACACACACACACACGCCTAAACATGTGCCTATCTGTATACATACACATACTATCTGCTGGTTTAGAGTTTGGAGAGAAGGACTGCCCGCAATGGACAATTACACCCCTCAAGCCTCAACCCTAACTCCCAAACCAAAGCCCTTAACCCTTAAACCCTAAACCTGCCAACGCTACACCTAAAGCCTATACCAGTGCCTCGTGTACTTTGCTACGAGGGCCCTAAACCCCAAGTAACTAACGGAAACACCCGAACATCGAGCTCCAAACATCAAATCATGCAAACTCTGTGGGCCCTTGCGTAGGTGTTCAGGGTTTAGGGGTTTAGGGTCTAAGGTATAGGGTCTTGAAGACCATGCTGCTGAATCTTCCGCGGAGGCTTTCGTGATGCGTTGCGAGGACGCGGTTTGCTGCAGTGTCTGCTCCACCTGATTAGGTCGACGAGGTCCACTTGGAGGTTCAGGGGTAGTCATAAGTGGGGTTCCTTTAAAGGGATCTATAGGGTTATAGGTTTAGGAACTAGGGTTTAGGGTAGTTATAAGTGGGGTTATAAGTCCCCCAATATGAGTTATAAGTATAGTTACCCTACTTATAACCTACTCAGAACTACCCTTGAACCTCCAAGCAGGGGTAAGGTAAGGGTTTGGTTTGAGGGATAGATGCAGGTGCCTTGATAATTAGAATAGGGTTTAGGGGCTCGTTGTACGGTAAACACAATCAAGAATCCCCAAAACATATAGGTAATTATTTAGGCCCCTGTAGTAGATGTGGGGATTGGGATTTGGGTCAAGGTGGGTTCTCGTGACAGGAAATCCTTGGCTTTGAAAAGTGCTCTGAGCTTCCTAAACCCTAAACCGATGTGAACTGCTTGACCGTCAGCTTTTGAAAGCCATAATAAGCCCTAAAACCCTAAACCCTTAACCCGTTAATCATCCTAAATCTAATTTTCTAAACGCTGCACGCCCTCCACAAGGGTTTTTGGGGAAAAGTCTCTTCAGGCCGGTTTTCAATCCTCGGAAGTCACCCTACCTTAGGATATACACTTCCCTTCAAGGTGCCTCCTCTAATCTCCTCTAATCTCGAAAACCTGTGCACTTAAAAAGGCTGGGCCTTCGGTAGGTCGTATTTCTAATTCGGTTTAAGGACTTCCAAAACCTTCATAAACCCTTTACATGACATTGTTGCACACCCTTCCCTTTTCTTGGAACCCTTAAAGCAATCCCAAAACCCCTTAACGGAAGCCCAACCGCGATTTAAAGGAACCCCGAAACCTCCTTAAACCGGGGCTCTCTCTTCACCCTTTCAAGGATCCCCGGGCCCTAAACTTAAAAGCGCTCTGCCCTGCTCTCTTTTGGGGGAACTAGGATACCCAGTAAGCCAGGACTGAGCAGGGCTCCTTTTTTGGTATTGGGTAACCTATAAGGAACCTAGGACTACAAAAAAGGGATAAGGGTACGACTGGGCATCCTAGGGAACTTTGGGCGCTGCTCCTTCGGAAAAAAACGCTTCCCTTTAAAGGGCAGGCTTCAAGCAAAACCCAAAACCCAATAAGGGAAGCCCAAGCCCCCTTATAAAGGAACCTTCTCTAACCCGGCAGGCTCTAAACTGTGAGCCCTTTCCCCTCTTCTGGGGCCCTCTTTTCGGGAACTTCGGGAGGAGTTCGGGGAGTTTCCGAAAATTAGGGGTACCATAATTTGGGGTCCTTATAATAAGGATCCTACTATATTGGGGTACTCTATGCGGGTCCCCTGTTTTCGGAAACCCCCATATCCCAAAACCCTAAACCCTCAATCGAACCCTAAGGGAGCCCTTCTGGTACCCTTTAACGTAAATGCCAGAAAGTTGGAATATGAAAATCCTAAGCCCTTTATGGTAAATTATAGGGTATCCTACCCTGAAACCATATTCCAACTTTCTGGCTTTTACTTTAAAGGAACCCTGAAGGCTCCCCTAGGAGCTCTGGCCTCAGAGAGGCGTCCGCGGATCTCTTCCTCGAGCTGGTGTCGCCAGTCCCAGAGCCGGGAGTCGATCTGATCCACCCGCCGAAGCCTTTGCTGGGAGCTTTGGAATTGGTTTTCACATGGAGGCTCATGGGTAGTTATAAGAAGGGTTAGAAGTCCCCTGAATATGAGATATAAGCATAGATGCCCTACTTATCTACCCGCCGAAGCCTTTGGTGTGGGCTCTGGCTTTTTTTACCCTGAGCCCTAAACCCAAAACGCAAAACCCTGAAGGCCCTAAGGACTCTCTTCTGAGGGCTTTTAGTTAAGGGAGTCGGGATATTCGGGATAAGAGTCTAGACATCTTTCTTTCAGTTTACGGATCGTAGGTTTAGGGCTCCGACGCTTCAGGGCTTACAGGGCCCTTGTCCACTGCAGGAGGTCCGGGGGATCCCCTTCTTGCAGTGCTTTGTGGGTTTCGGGCTCTTAGGGCCGGGCTGCTTTGAGAGTTGAAGGCTGAAGGTTGAGGGTTTAGGGTGCTTGGAGGTTCATGGGTAGTTATAAGTAGGGTTGTAAGTAGGGTAACTATACTTATAACTCATATTCGGGGACTTATAACCCTACTTATAACTACCCATGAACCTCCAAGTGGAGCTTGCCTGCATTCGAATTCGCCATACTAAGTCACAGGTTTCATGCGGAGGAAGAGCTCTAAGGGATTAAGAACACAAACCTACGGCCTCACTCTGAAGGATGCGCTTTAATATCGAAGCCACGCCGTCCAAGCCCTCGAAACCCCCCAGCTTCAATGCCCAAGCTCCAAGGCTCGAAGCTCTCCATCCAATCTCGCCACTTGGAACTATGCGACGCCCAACCTCAAGCCCCGAAATGCCCTCGACAGTTCTAGTTATACAACGTCGAAACGCGGGATGACCCCAAATGCGCACAAACCAAATCCTGGAAAACCAAGAAGGCTTCGAACCCCGGAGCCCCAATCACATCCCGAGCCTCTCTATATACTACAAGGATCGGTGCCAACGCTCAATACCCCCAAATCTAGGACCTTAAACCTCCGAAGATCCCCCCTGGCCCCACCCACTGCCCTGAGCGGAAGACTGGGACTGCATCTCGTCGCTCAACCCCTTCACCTGCGGCAGCTGCTACAGAAGAACCCGTATAGAACTCCTATGGTACCTACAAAGGAGCCCTTAAAGGGTTTACAGAGATCCCTGCACGCTTTTTTTGGGGGGAGTCGCTAGCTTTCAGGCTCAGTCAGAAGGAGCCAGGCCCCACATTCGGAGAAGAGAGGGGGGTCGCTTGGCTGAACAAGAAGCTCGTTTGAACAGACCGAAGCTGAACTCAGCCAACATATCGAGAGATTGTGCATGGCGACAGAGTAAGATGCAAGCTTCACTCAGGCATGTATACCCTTCACAACTCATCACTGCGACCAGAAGCGTTCACAGGCTGAGCACCGTCTGAGCATCGTGTCTGAAGCTAACCTTGGCCCTCAGGGTCTTTTTGACGTAATTTTGGGCTCTGGGGCCTAGGGTTTGAGGTCAAACTGAACCCACCTTAACCCCTAAACCCCTCCACCCCAACACCCTAAAGCTCAAAGCCCTAGACTCTAAACTCGAAGCCACGCCCAAGACGGACCTAAACTCTAAAATCCCTCAAACCCTTTGAGCTTCCAGCACTGCCCGACAGCTCCGCAATGCGGCGATCGAACTTCGGCTGGAGGGTCTCGAAGGCACCTACCTTGGCCTCAGCATGTGCCAGGCTTAAGGTGCAGTCACGAGTATACTACAATATAATGCAACAGAATTGGTATAGTATATTATAACGGAACAGAACCCTGTTTTTGTGTGCAGTGCTCAAGTTTCCTCGGCTTTCTGGAGAGGCACAAGCAAGCTCTGCATCGACACGAAAAAAGATTATGACATAAGTATGATTACGAAGGTCTCTTCTGGGCTTAACTTGCGTTTTTCGTGTAGGCGACTGACTTTGACGTATTGTGAGTGTAGTGTAAACTTTGGGCTTAGGCCTCAAGCCTTTCCAAATCAAGCCCAAACTTCTAAGGTCCTGCGAGATTCAGAACCGGAAGTTCTCGCAAGGCTACTTGGAGGGTCAGGGGTAGTTGTAAATGGTGTTATAAGTCCCCTGTTATGAGTTATACGTATAGTTTCCCTACTTATAACCCTACGTATAACTACCCATGAACCTCCAAGTAGGGTCTTAACCTCGAAGGCGGGGGCCTCATCAAGGCCCTCCGTCTCATGGCGCAGACCACATCGCTACGCCAAAGCACACCGATGCCGCCCCAAAAAAGTAGTATAGGTAATTCTTAAAGCCCCTATACCATAGAACCCTACTACTGACTGTAGATCCCTTGTAGACCCCTCTCAGGAGCAACCTCTGAATCCTGGAACTCCCGCTGCCTCGCTCGGACACCTCGCACCGCCCAACAACAAAGCGACGACTCTGAAGGAGAACAAAGGCTAACAGCTTCTCGCCAGTTCCTGTCCCAACCCCCCCCCCCCCTACCCCCCATCTGCACAAATAAGAGGGCTACTTGCAAGACTTGGGGACGTAAGTAAGTAAGTAAGCTCATAGGTCCTGTCATAGGTCATAGCTAGGATCGTAATAATAGCGTAATTACAGCAATTTCTTGGCATTTACGAACGAGGTAAAGACACATCGGGTCTTCAAGCAGTCCATTCAACCCCGGAACCCCAAACCCCTACCTTCGGTCCCCAAACCCCAAATAGCCAAACGCTAAATCACCGTACCGAGTTGTCCGTTAAGCCATTTGAACATTTCTTACTATTAGGGTTCTCTACAGAATAGTAGGGGAAATCAAAAAAGATCCCAACGGACAACCCAGCTCCAAGCAAACTTTCCGTCGGGGACCTCCATCCGGGACAAGGCAACGTCTCGGAGCCGATCGCCCTGTGAGGTGGCTGTTTAAGGGTTTACTTGGAGGTTCAGGGGTAGTTATAAGTGGGGTTATAGGTCCCTTAGTTAGGGTTATAAGCATAGTTACCCTACTTATAACCCTACGTGTAACTACCCATGAACCTCCAAGTACGGTTCGGGGTTTCGGGTTTAAGATGGGTTGTGAGGCCTCTCGTCACAACTCAGTTCATTCATGACGAATGCTTAAAACATGCACAAACCTAATAGTACTACCACTACCACTGCACTGCTTGGAGCTACGGTTCGAGTGCCTTGCTTTGTTATCTTGATGACGTATCTTCCCTCAGCTGTCGTAGATGGCCGAGTCTTCGAGCTCGGGCGGCCCTGGACGTCTCTGGACGCGTGCGATTGGGAACGGAACAGAACCACTACCACTGCCGTGCAGCGCTACGGCGAAAGTCAGGCCCTCTCCTGCTGCTGCACGCGGAGGATCTGAGCGTTCAGCCTCTCCTGAAGTCCGCATCTGAGAGTTGAGGTTTAGGGTTTCGGGCAGTTTCGGGTTCAGGGCTTAGGAGTTCGGGGTTTGGGCTCCGATGCGCACGGATCAGTTTTTCAGGTGCAGGGTTTAGGATTCGAGGATAGCACAGATTTGGGATCTGCCGTAGTTATCGCGGATCTAACGTGTCGATCCCGGTTTCGCTTCTTGGTTGAGCCCCTTGTCTTCGAGTATACGATACAGAGTCTAGGATTCGGGTTTTGGTTTGTAAGATTCAAGGCAGTGTCTTGGAGTTATTCAGGGTAGACATGGCTCCGGGTCTTGGCAGCAGCGTTGGAGAGTTTTAGTTGCTGAAACCTGGAGACCTGCATCCTGAGCGCTATGCACTTGAACCACAGACCCTCGTCACATTCCGACCTTGCCATCCGTTGATCTCAACGTCGCAAAACTCAAACCCAAAACTCTCTTAGACGCCAAAACCCCTGGCATTGAATGCTGTCCTCCACATTAACCAGTTGGTTTTGCAAAGCACCTCAGCTCGAAGCGAAACGACACCAATTACAGCAAACGTCGAGTTCAGGCTCCAGAGCTACGGAACATGGAACGAGATATGGGGCATGGACCAACGTATCTTCTGCTACAAGGTGACCGCTATGAAACCAGACACCTTGGCCAAGGAGCCTCTACTATGAGATGACATGACATGAGAGGGTATAAACTGTTCTGATATGACACCATGCACTCGAAACAAAGTCTCTGATTTTGGCTGGCTGTTTCAAGTGGCTGATCAGAGGTCGTATTTGATGGTGCAACTGCATCCGCTGTGATTCCACATAGCTTTACATGTGTTCTGAAAAGGTTGTAGTTAAGACTCGACTTCGGAAATCTCAGATGATACCGAAGGCCTTTGACAGTCTAAGCAATTTTCGCGGAACCTCCGCATGCCAAGACTGTTTGGGAGTTTCCGAAAATAGGGGAGCCTAAGAAATATAGCACCCTAAATAGTAGGGATCCTTGTTATAAGGACGCCACAATAAGGGACCCTTAATTTGCGGAAACTCCCGCTTCAGGCTCCCTAAACCCTGAAACCTTGCCATCCTCCCCGCCCAGGGGTGAAAAACCACCCTGGCGCTGTGTGGGTTTCGGGTGAAGGGTCAGAAACCCTGCAGTTTAAACCAATGAACCGCAAAAAATGGTTACAAGAAGTTCAACGATCCACACCAAGAATAGTTGAGTAAACCCGCATAGAAGCGGCTATTCGCACCATAGAATGCCATAGAAGTATGATCTCATACGCGGTCGTATACAGCTAGAATACACGCTGGGTCGGCGAGCCATCTTTGATTGCAGCCGTCGGCGTCATCGCACGGAGCCGGCTGGTAGTGCCGCGGGCTGTGGCCTTGTCAGACTTGGGGTGTTTAACTTCGGGTGCCCAAGACCCTGGATCCAGCTATTCACGTTCGACAAATTTCAGTAGGGTTTTTTGGTGGGGTTTGGGGGACATATTTGGTATGAAGAAAGTTACTAGGAACCCTGCGGAATAGGATAGCGAACTACTCAGGCTTTATGTTGGGGTTCCAACTTCCTGAAAGTCCCAAGTGGATGTAGGTTCAAGCAAGTTTCGGATCCAATTGAGTGCTGTGGGGCTCCCGCGGCACAAGAGACTCTCCTCAATCATAATGGCCAACCCGAACCCTATATCCTAACAATGCTAGTTGTGTTTAAGATAGCTGTGTGTTACAGTCTTGTAGGTCTCCCTGGCTGTCCTGTTCTCGAGGCTCAAGGCCAATCCGCCAGGCCCTACAGCTCTAAACAACCCTAAATTCCAAAACCTGACAAACCTTACACCCAAGACCCCTCTTGGAGGTTCATGGGTAGTTATAAGTGGGGTTACAAGTAGGGTAGGTCCGGGTAGGTATACTTATAACTCATATTAGGGGACTTATAACCCCACTTATAGCTACCCCGGAACCTCCAAGTACCCACCAAAACCCTGAACACCAAAAGCCCAAACCACCTTTCAAAGCTCCGAGAGTTCACTGATGGGAGGCCAAGAGGGGGGTTTAAGATTCTTGGGGTAGGGATTCCTTAATATGAATCCTATTATGGGAACCCTAGTCCCTACTAAACCCACATAGGCAAAAACCCCCTTTTTTTTTGCCTCCTATCAAGACTGAGCGACAATTATGGTCCCTTTTGGGTCCCTATTATAATATGGCACCTACTATTCTTACTTGCTGAGTTCATAAGCCCCCAAAAGTGTACACTTTCAGTTTTAGAGTGGCCAGTATTATCCCAAAAAGTGTAAAGTGTATCCACTCAGCTCCTAAGTATTTAGAGTACCCAAAAAGGGACCATAATTTGGAAACCGCCCGAACCGGGCCTGGGCCAGGGAGCTCAGGGACGACACCGCCAGTCGCAGATCTGCCGGCGACTGTGTGGAGGCCGGCGAGGCCTCGGCGGCGCTTCTCTTCAGGGAGTTTACTTGGAGGTTCAGGGGTAAACATAAGTGGGGTTATAAGTCCCCGAATTAGGGTTATAAGTATAGTTACCCTAGTTATAGCCCTACTTATAACTACCCATGAACCTCCAAGTAGGGATTTTTTGGGGTTTAGGTTTAGGATTTTGGGGTGTTTTTAGGGTTTGAGGTTCAAGGCTAATGATTTTAGGTGTTCTGGAGGTTGAGGGGTTAGGATTTTGGGGTTTGACGGTTTGGGGCTTGGGATTTGAAGATTTGGGATCCAGGGTTTGGATGTATTGCCTTTCGGGGGTGCCATCTGCAGGCAGGATTTGAAGCCTCTGCGCCTCTTCTTCTACGACTTGGGATTTAGGGGCGGTTGAAGGATTTAGGGTTTAGGGTTGAAGGGTTTAGGGGTTTAGGGTTTAGGGGCTTCAGGGTTTAAGGATTTAATGGTCAAGCTGTCGGGGTGTGGGGTGTTGGGCTTTCGGGGTTAGGTCTCACAGCTCCAGAAATCATATAGGGGCCTCAATACATAGAATAGGGTTTTGGGGCTCATTATACTGTAACTAAATTAAGGAACCCACAAAATAGTATAGGGAATTATTGAGGCGCCTATATTGCCCGAAACACAACTCGCAGTACAGGGCCCATAATCATTGGTAACAATGTTCAACTAAAGTCCCTAAACCTAAAACCTACACCCAAAACCCAAAATCCAATCCAAATCAAAACCCTCAGTCGTAAACCCTCTCTACGTAAACGTACTGTCTCTTTAGTAAAACTCCCTAAGCCCTAAATCCTAAATCCCCAAGCCTAAAGCCCTAACCCTTGAGCGGCAAACCCTTCCTGCATAGCTGCACTGTCCCTTTCGCCAGAATCTAACCCTACCTCCTCGGCCCGACACCCTCCCTACGTAGCTGTACTGTCCCTTGAGTTATAATCCCTAAACCCTAAAACCTCTGACCCTAAACCCCACTTGGAGGTTCATGGGTAGTTATAAGTGGGGTTAGTAGGGTAACTATACTTATAACCCTAATCAGGGGACTTATAGCCCTACTTATAACTACCCCTAAACCCTAAACCCTATACCCTTATAGAATCCCTATAAACCCCTTTATAAAGGGACCCTTAAAGGAATCCTTATAACTACCCCTGAACCTCCAAGTAAACCCTAAGCCCGACCCTGTTTAACCGTATTGTCCCCAGAGAGTAACTCGGGCCACGGCCTCCGGCACCTCCTCCTGCGGAAGCTACCGTCTTTTTAGGGCTTCATGGGCTTAACCATAAAATGGCAGTATTAAGTATCACCATGATGAAGTGTTTTTAGGGCTTCGTGGGTTTAACAATAAAATGACAGGAATAAGTATCACTATACTGATCGGTATGGCTTATTATAGCTACTACTAGGGCTTCGGGCTGTGGGTTTGCACTTCAGCCATCGAAGGTTTTGAGGGTTGGGGTTTAGGGTCTGCAAACTCTGTGACGCAACCTAAACGTGCCAACCGTTGTGCAGCTGAACGCAAGGCTTGGGGCCCTTCAACCCTGAACCCTACTTGGATAATTAGGGGACTTATAACCCCACCTGCAACCACCGCTGGACCTCCAAGACACCACCCTAAACCCTAAATTTAAGCGAGGGCTGCAGGATCTTAGCTTCCGGTTGTGGTGAGAAGCGTTGCCGTTGGCTTCATGGCCTAGAAACTTCGGGCTGAGGGCTTCAGAAATCCGTGGCTTGGGGCTTGAACGGGAGTAAGAAATAGGGGCCGCAAAATTTAGAACAGGGTTCCTTAAAGGGGTCTATAAGGGCTACCATAAGGGTACTATAAAGCTTTCCCCGTGAAACTTCGGCGATTTGGGACGCAGTCGGGAAGAGCCCTTCAAACCTGAACCCTGCGGTCCTGCATGGTGGATGAATGCCAGGGAGCCCGCGTAGCTCGCAGCAGCGGGCTTTGGATTAGTCTGTCGGAAGGAACAAATCCCGCTACTAATGCTAGCTGAAAAAGCAATGAGGCAATCCTTGAAGCACTTGAAGCATGCGAGTCCTTCTAGCTACAGTTGAAATCACGATTTGAGAAAATAGCCATGACATTGACAAAACCTCATGAGCACCATGTGTAAGTCGAAGACTTATTAAGTGGTATCTGATCACGCTGCTCTTTGAGAGCTACGACTCGATTGGCATTAGGCTGTCCTTGCAACAGCGTGGCAGTCTTCGGCTTCGAGCATGGCTGCTGAAGGCAAGTGGCGAAGCCATAATAAAGAAAACTATATACTTGTTAATATAGATCCCTATCATTGTAACTTAACCTAAATTCCTCAACGAGAACCCAGCTTCTGAACTAATGCACCCAGCATGCTCAAACGGATACATGAGAATCGCAAGCAGGCCTCTTTGGAGAACCATTCCGGTCAAACACCCTCTACCACACCCCCAAACCCTACTTGGAGGTTCATGGGTAGTTATAACCAGGGTAACTATACTTATGACTCATATTAGGGGACTTATAACCCTACTTACAATTACCCATGAACCTCCAAGTAAACCCTAAACCCTATACCCTTATAGAATCCCTAGAGATCCCTTTAAAGGGACCCTTTAAGGAACCCATATAACTACCCCTGAACCTCCAAGTATACCTCAAAAAGCACAACCGCGATGCCCGGAAGGATGCTCAGGAGAGGGTCGGACCAGACCATAGAAATCGAGGATGCCTTGCCTTGCACGTTTTGGCGCCCAAAAGTGGGAGGGGGCTTTAGGCGAAGGGCTTAGGGCTTAAGGTACAGGGGTCAGGGGCCTTGCAAGTTTTGCGCCCAACAGTGGGGCTTTAGGTAAAGGGCTTCGCCAGGGGGCTTCGTGTAAGATAAGGGCCTTCGCAACCAGAATAAGGCTTTGGGCCCGGCGTTTGGGAGTCAGATTTCCGTTTCCGGGTTTAGTGATGGGAGGCCAAAAGGGGGGTTTAAGATTCTTCGGGGTAGGGATTCCTTAATATGAACCCTCTTGTGGGAACCCTAAACCCTACTAAACCTCCATAGGCTAAAACCACCCTTTGTTGGCCTCCTACTGTTGATGATATAAATCCTGCATTACCTGAAGGACCCTAAAAATGAGAATAATGGTATATTCCTCATTTTGGGTAATGCTCGTAGAGTTTGTGGCTCTCGAGCCGGTATGCTGTCGTGATGGGAGGGAGGCCTTCGGTCGCTTGGGAGGAATGGAGGGGCCGCAGTATGCAGAGGAGGGCTCCTTTAAAGGGGTCTATAAGGGCTGCTCTAAGGATTCTACAGGGGTACTATAACATAGGGGCCGCAATATTCAGAATAGGGGTCTATAAGGGCTACTATAAGGAATCGATAAGGGTACTATACTAGAGGGGCCGCCATGTTTGGAATAGGGTTTGGGGGTGTAGTATATACCATAATAAAAAACAAGGACCCGCCCCAAAGCAGTGTGGAGTATAGGCAGTTATTAAGGCCCCCTATAGTAGAGGTTTTGTTCCGGCCTTCCCACGACGCAATATTGAGAGAATGCGAGACATCGCACAGCGCGTGATTCACGTCACATGTCGCGCCGTGAGACTGGAAAAGCTTGGCTCATCAGTCGGATCCTTCTAGGACACGTTACAAAGGGCAAGCACATTTTGTGCTTGTGAGACGCTGAAAAATACGTGGCCAAGATCTACGCTAAATATCATGATATCCTCAACAGAATGGTAGCAAGAATCCGCATCCATCTCGGCATGGCGAATATCTGCACCCACTACTGTTAGTTCGGAGCCTCGACCCACGGCTTGTGGAAAAGAACAAGACCGCAAGGGCTCCAATTGCCAAAATAATGGGTTACTGGGTTACATCATGGATGGCTCGAGGCCCGCTGGTTGTGTAATTGGAGCCCCAGGAAACCTCATGTTTAATTCTTCGACAGTCCATGAATAGGTCTCGTCGGCTGTCGGGTAGTGTTGTCTGCCCTGGGGTTATGTACATAAAAATCTGACACTTGAGTTGAAACTTCGTGGACAGAGTGGTACCGGCGCATGCACACAGGCAGCGGTAGGGTTTAGGGATTGTATGGTTACTACATCCCGAGGTCTGGCGGCCTCTGATCTAGACCGCATGTCCCAGCCTGCGTCTACCCGTGTGCAGACGCGAAGGCTTGCGCAACGACCGAGTCTGAGAAATCACGATAGGAGTCTCGCTATCGCACCTGCTGTGGCGAAGGATCGAGTCCATTCTTCATATTGGGTTTGGGGCTTTGAGCTTTGAGCTTATGACGAGTTACCTTGGAAACTACTTTGCGAAGTCTTCAGGCTCCCGTCCGAAATCGCGCTTCGACATTAGGACCCTGTCGACACCTCGAGGGTGTCGGTGGGTCAGGCAAGTACAGCTCATCATTGAAGAAAACTGGTTAAGGTTTAATCTTTATGCTCATTTAGCGTATGCGGTCTGAAGGAGTCCAGGCGTAGACGTAGGGTTCAGGATGTTAATGTGGTAGGCGTCTTAAAGGTTCAGACTGACATGAGCTGCATGCATAAGGAGGTTCCCGCGGCGTCACCGCTTGCTCCTCTAAAGTCTTTGTTTTTGGGTTCATTAAAATCTGCCTGGCGTTGCATGCCAGAGAATTAGTGTTCAGCAGAGAGCCCAAAACACCGTAAATCAACTTGATTGCCTGAATAAATCTCATGACATATTCAAACGTCCTCAAGTCAGGGCTCGATAAGGCTCTATAAGGGATGCCTATGGGGATTTGAAGAATATGAGTATGAGGCCTTGCTTATTCCACGGACCATCAATAGATGTTGTCAACTGCCAATGAACTGGCATGGCACCAATGTCCAATGTCCCACGATGGCCGAAGAGAAGCTGATGTTGTAGCAACAAATTTCAGTACGACTGCAGTTTATTCCATTAAATGCGCAGAACGAAAGGCTTGTCGGCTTGTAGGCAAGAAAGTTTCCAGCTAGGTGAAGTTGAAACCACTAGGTATAGTGACTCACACCTGGTTCAAAGCAAAACATAATCCTCGGCCCGAAGCCTCGACTAAGACGGACTTTGACAACACCAGAGAAAACTGAGATACCGTACCTAAAGCCAACTTACTGTACGTCCACGGATTGTGGGCACAATGCCGAGGACCACAGCTAAGCTGCACCAACCCAAAATATTACTCCATAAGAACTTTAAGGATCTTAGTACAAGGCCTTGACACAAAAGGGTGCCGGGGTATGTTATGTTGCTGATCTAGGGACCATCAATGAACGTTGCTACCAATGAACTAGCATGACATAATGTCACACGACCGTCGAAGTGAAGTCGATGTACAAAACAAACGTCAGTACGACTGCAGTTCATTCCGATAAATGGAAGCAAGGAAGTAGCAAGCTAAGTGAAATTGAAACCCCTGCATAGTAGTATAGTGGCCCCCCGCATGGTCCAAAGCAAAACTTAATCTTTGGCCCTAAGCCTTGCAGCATGAAGCTACACATAAAGCACCAACCAGACACGTCTCTGCAATACTTCTCCTTAGGTTGAGGGTTTAGGGTTTGGGGATTGGGGTTTAGGGTTTAGGATTTAGTGATGTTCGACTCAGCGGCGTGCACCAAGTGGTTAGCGGAATCTCCCTATCCGGCCTTCAGTTTTTCACCTTGTATCGTGACAGACTTATAATCCTAATATAGGGGCCTTAATAATTAGAATAGGGTTCCGTTAAAGGGTGTCTATAAGGGTTACCACAAGGGATCTATAAGGGTACCATAATACAGGGGTCTTAATAATTAGAACAGGGTTTCGGGGTATGGTATATTCTACCCCAACTATAATAAGGACCCCCCCAATAGTATTGGTAACTATTTGTGCGCCTGTATTACGTGTAACCGCTGAAGGGAGCGCAACAGGGCCTGCACTTATGCAAAGCTACATGTGACCCCTCTAGAAAGGTTTAGGGTCTAAAAGGGTCCTCTAAGCGAGTACCATGGCAAATCATGGTGCCAAGGAGGAACTATTGTCGCTCAGATTTGGGTTCGGAGTGCAAGGCTTTAGGTGGAGATTGCAGACTACGGGTTTGGACCGTCACCTCGCTGTGCTATACATGTCCCTTGTATGATCAGAATCAAGCTTCATCCAGCCTTCCCGGGAAGCAATACTGAGAGGATTCGAAACATAGCAGAGTGCCGATTCACGCCACGTGCGAAAAACTTGGCGCAAGCACAATTTTGCCTGTGAGGCACTAAAACGAAGGGGCCAAGATCTTTTAAAGCGACTTTCTCAACAGAATGGCAGGAAGAACCTGCATCCATCTTGGTACATGACGAGCATCTGCACAAACTACTCAGTAACCACTTTCAAGGCGGAGCCACGACCCAAGGCTTGTGGAAAAGAAAAGGACCACAGCCTTTTGAGCGAGGAGATCTCCACAGCTTGCAGCAGCATCAGAAAACTTCAGGTATAAAGTTGTCTAGGGCTCCAGCTGCCTAAGTAACGGGTTACTGGGTTGATGTAGGGGCCTTAATAATTAGAATAGGGTCTTGGGCCCCGTTACACTAAAATCAAAAATCAGAAACCCCAAAATAGTATAGGTAGTTACTTAGGCCCCTATATTGCGTTATGGATGGCTCAAGGCCTGCTGTTTGCTTACCTGGAGCCCCAGGGAACCCCGGGCGGGGCTCTTGGGATGTGGAAGCCACGTGCTGCTGCCGTCGACTACCACACCATCATGGTCGGAGGAGCCTGGTATTGAAGATAACTCCACCAACTAGGGTCAACGTGACATCTCATAGTTTTGACACTCCTTGACAATCCAGAAGCTGAACAGCAACGAAGCCTCTCCGCGCACTAAAGCACGCGAAACTGGCTTTCCGCATTCAAATTGACAGCGACACGCTTTCGTGCGACAACGACTTGAAGCCTGTTG